TGTCTTTACCTCTTAAAGCCAATTTTCTCAGGTTACATTTTTCCATCTTAATGTCATGATGAAGATTTGATTCTTTTGTCAATTTTCAGTCAGCAACAAGTTTTATTTTGTGTCAGTTATTTACTATTTTACTTTTTCCTGCGTCAGACTTTAGAATTCAGTTTTACCTTAAAGAATGATGTCAGTGTCTGAAATTTCAAATTTAGCCCTTCTGTATCCTTCCAACTATCCTTCCAATTTGTGTCAAATGTTTACTCTCTGTGCTATGCTATTGTATAGACAAAGAGCAAAGAATGTCCTCAAAGTAAAAACCTTAGGAACAAAGACATTTAGTTAGATTTATGAGACCTGATAATTCTGTCCATCCATCTATCCACCTATCACTTTGTCCACCAGCCACTCATCAGTCCTTCCATCCACTGTCCACCCATCTACTCACATTAATCTACCCCATCTAACTACCCATCTATCCATCCATTCACCACTTACCTATCCACTCAACCATCCATTCATCCTTCTATCCAAACACCCACCCATCCATCCATCCATCCACCAATCCAGTCACCTTCCCATTCATTAATCTACCCCTGTGGTTTTTAATCAGGGGCAATTTTGCCCCCAGGGAATAACAGGAAATGCCTGGAGACATCTTCTCCTGTCATAAGTGGCTGATGCTACTGTCACCTAGTGGATAAAGGCCCAAAAGGCTACTCAGCAGCCTACAACACAGGACAGCCCCACAACAAAGAATTATCCAGCTTAAAATGTCTTCAGTGCCCAAGTTGAGAATCCCTGATCCATTCCCATCCAACCACCCGCCATCCATTCACCACACCCATTTATTTAAATGTTTATTGAGTGCCTGTTGCTGTGTCTCCCAATTCTGACTGGGGAGCGGGTAAAACATAACAAGCACACAGGTGTTACCTTGAGTGTTCAGAGTTTGATAATCAGAAACCATGGAGCCCTGGCTGGTGTGGCTCAGTGGATAGGGCGTTGGCCTTCGGACTGAAGGGTCCTGGGTTCGATTCCAGTCGGGTTGGCCTCGGTCCCCACTAGGGGGCAGCATACAGGAGGCAGCCGATCAATGATTCCCTCTCATCATTGATGTTTCTCTCCCTTTCCCTTTCTCTCTGAAATCAATAATTCACACACACACACACGAGGCCCGGTGCATGAAAGTTTACGCACTGGAGGGGGGGTCCCTCAGCCCAGCCTGCCCCTCTCACAGTCCGGGAGCCTTCAGGGGCGGGAGGCGATGCCCCATCACACCTCTGCTGCTGCCACTGCCGGCAGCGCAAGCCTCAGGCAGCCCTGGGGGGCTGGGGGACTGGGGGACTCTTGAGACAGGCGCTCCGGGGGAAGGGGTGGGGCTGAGAGGACTGGGCGCCGCCATCTTTGAGGGCGGGGCAGTCAATTAGCATATTCCCTCTTATTGGCTGTGGGCACTACCATCTTTGTGATGGCGTGAGGGTAATTAGCATATTCCCTCTTTATTAGAAAGGGTATTAAAAACCATGGAAGTTTGTGAATGGAAAGTTAATCAGTAGAGAAGCTTCTTTGCTTATTGCCAGGATAGTATGTGGCATTAAATCGTTGCTAATTAAGGTTAATCAGCAATTTATCACCATATTAATCAGGTAAACAAAAACATACCAAAGACGAAAAACAAATGTCCAGGTTTTTTTCTACCACAACTCGCTCTGCTCACTAGACTCACTTGGGGCCTCAGGGGATACTGCTCCCGGACCGAGGCCCTGATGTAACTGGTCCAGGACGTGGCTCGGCACCGGAGTCGCAGAAGCACCAGGGGACCAATGGTCCGCCAGGACTGAGCGGCTGGGTCAGAACCCAGACCCCCCCCCCTTGTTCGTTGTTGGATTGTTTTGCTTGTACATAGCACGTGATTTTCCATTTTCTTTCTTCAATTTACTCAGAGCCTGACCCTCTAAGGTTCGGGGTAATAACTGTCCCCTTTGCCCTTGAGTTCTTGGCCTACTGTGTGTGGGGGGAGGTGCAGGGAGAACTGACCTAGAATCACCGGCCCGGTCCGGGCTGCTGGCACCAAGGGGAGGGGCGTTTCCATCTGCTGCTCCTGGAGCTGCTCGGTTACCGGAGGGAGCCGCAGGCTGTCACGGGAGCTGGTCGTCCATCTTTGCGAACATTAAACCGAGGGTAACCAGTTTAGATGAAAAGATGGAAGAGCAGCACGGGGACTTCCTGATGCTGACGCGCTGTCAGGACTCTCGTTGCTGTGGCTCTAACCCAAGAGGAGATGCTTGCCTCATGACTTCCGGGGGAACCGGGATGGTCTCCGGTGTTTGCAGGCGGCCTTGGGAACTGCGATTTCGTAGACGCGACCTTCAGCAGTTCACATGGGCGAGGCCACGCAGCTGCTGCCCCATTGCCCAGATGAGAGACTGAGCCTCAGAGCAGTGAGGGCACCCAGGTCGCAGACGGCGTGGTGGCACGTGGCCTTGTATGGAGCTCTCCTTCCTGTGTCCTCGTTCACGTCTCAGCCGCTGGGAGCCTCAGGGTCCCTCCTTCCGCCCCTCCCCTTCCACAGGCAGAGGCAGGGCACAGCCCGACAGCAGAGGTTCCTTCCAGCCTGGCCATCATCCCCAAACCTCCACACACTCAGCTTCACCTTCCAAATGCTTTTGCCAGCTTTTTTCTGGACAGAGCAGATTCTCCATCCGGGGACTTGTAACGGTTCACAATCCGTTTCCGCCAAGCCGGTTACTGGTCGTTCCTGAATCACAAATCGCGGCTGGTTCTTGAGGGGGAGCCCTTCCCTCATGCGAGACCCCCCTTTTTCCTGGTGGCCTTTGGGGATATATTGCTGCAAATGGGTGCTACTCCCTGTTGTTGGAAATCTAAGCTGGTAGAAATGTCATTTGCTCACAGATAGGTTGTTTTTCTTAATAAAAATATTCTTTCTAAACTAAATGATATTTTTATTAATAAAGGCAATTTCATATTTGATAGAGAAAACAGTGTGTGAAAATCTGTGTATGGGATGTAATTTTCAACTGATATGTTAGACAGCTTCTCCACAAGTGGTTACGGAGCCAGGGATTTAGATTTGGGAGGCGCCAGAGGCCTCCGTGACCTTCCTCCCGGGTTCTCTCGCCGGGGCCGGGGCCGGGGCCGGGGCCGGGGCCAGGGGTCCGCCAGGGGTCGGGAGCCCAGTTTGCAGCAAGGCCATCCATTCCAGGGCAGACAACTCCTGTCGTTTTCCTCCCAAAATGACAGAAAATGTGCCCTGTTTGGATCTTCTCAGATAGAATGTCCCTACTTTCCGATTATCCCTTACCTGACAGAGTTTTCAGAGCCTCCTGTGACACCAGTCCCACTCCCCTGGGCGTTTGTCCACTAAAAACACTGCCTCCAGCCCCAACATGAAGGGCAAGTACCAAGACCCTTGACCTCCAGTGACACTGCCCGGGTGGCACTGGGGATCTTTTTAGCAGCCACTTCTGTCGAATCTGAGATTGGTCTTAAGAGGCCATCAGTCAGGATGGGCTGGAGAAAGAGAATGCCAGTCCGAACGCTGCCTTTTCACATCCAGAATCTACCTTGGTTGGGTGTGAGTCAGTGCGTCTGTCAGCTCACCACCCATCATATAATGTCGGGCACACTGACACCTTTACCAGTTACTGTCGCTGTCACGCGGTCTCAGGTGTACACCGGCATACATCACTCCATTCCACAGCGCCCAGGAGTGACATTGCTTCCACAGGGGAAAGGCAGGCAGGGAACTGGACCGCTCGTCCAGGTCCCACGCAGTGTGACACGGTCCTGATGTAAAGGAAGTCTCGCCCGCACCTGTGCTCCCCCGTGTCCTGTGGCCGCAGATGGTCAAGTTCAGATGAGAGTTTCTGGGCTCCGTGGGTGACGGGCAAGTGGATTGAGCCTCCAGGCAGGGGCAGAGGACACAGCAACAGAGCAGTCAGCCCTTCAGAGTAAAGACTGGGGACAAGGCGCACCGCCCAGAGCTCTGTCCTACCTTGATCGTTGGAGAGGGAGGGAGAGGGAGAGAGAAACATGGGTCAGCTGCCTCCCACGTGCCCCGCTGGGGATGAAGCCCACAGCCAGGCATGTGCCATGACTGGAAATCAAACCGGTGATCCCTTGATGCACGGGACAACGTTGAACCAACTGAGCCACACTGGCCGGGGCACCAGTAACTTGTTATCTGAAGTTCTTCTAAGTCTGATCCTGCTGACATTATGCCCCCGTGCGAGGTTGTTTCTGTACACGTGTGTGCATATGCACATGTATGTGTTCCTATGTGTATGCGCGCCTTTACTCTTGGAGCTCATGTTTACGAGGGCTTGTGGAGATGCTGTATTGCTGGAAAAGGGGCACGTACGGCAGTTTTTCTTGTTCTGTTAGCTGTTTCAGCCTTGGGCTAACTTTTATACTAATTCCTCGGCCTGGTGGTTCCTGGACCACACAGTGTAAATTTGAATCCCAAACCTGTGCGTGGTTACAAATCCTCACAGGATCCGTGCGCCTCGTCCCTGGGGAGTTTCCTGGCTATTTCTCCAGGCCGGTGGGGACTCTCGCTCTCCTCTTCCAGGATGGAGCCTTCCTCGACGGCTCCAACAGAATCCTGGTCCTGGGTGGGACAGCTGCCTCCAGCTCAGCCTCCCTGCGGGGCTCTGCTGCTGACTTCCTGGCAGGGCTGCTCTCGCTCAGGCTCTTGTTATTTTGAGATGGAACATTCCTTGCAGCCATTTCTACCTGCCCGTCCTCTCTGGCTGCTGAGGGGGGAGGGCCTCTGCCTCATGGCTCGGATGCAGAGAGGGTGCCCTGCTCGGAGGGTCTGAGAGCAGGGCCTTCGGCCACCGTGACCCCCAGGTGTCCCTGCAGGAAAGGAGAGGCTGCCACGGAGCCCGGCTCTGCTACTCGCTCTTGTTCTCACTGAAGACTCTGCTCTGACCCCACCTGTACAGGCAAGACAGCCTCCCAACAGGAAATAAGCACACGCTCCAGACGATAAGCCGTTTTATCTGGTCCCTGCATATGAGACAGTGAATCGAAACCGGAGGCGTCCTGTGAAGATGAGCCCCCTCTGGGGGATGTCCCTCCTGGCAGGCCGGCCGCTGCGTGTCCTCTGGGCTGGGCCAGCCTGGAGCAGACTGGCCGGACCGGGCGGGTGGTGGGCAGCTCCCCTGGAGCAGGCAGGGGGCGCTGCGAGGAGCCCCTACTTCCTCTGTGCCTTCGAGAGGCCCAGCGTGGATTTCAAGTAGCTGTGCTGGACGCGGAGAAGGGAAGGAGGGATTGGTTAGGGCTCAGAAGCCACCCACCTGCATTCCCCGTCATTCCTCCTGCCAGCGAGGACGTATGCACGCACACACATACACACGCACACACATACACACGCACACACACCCATGCACACACACGTACAGGTGCACACATGCACACACATGCACACATACCCATGCATACAGGCACACACACATACACACGCACACACATACACCCATGTACACACGCATACAGGCACACACGCGCGCACACATATACATACGCACACATACACACATTTACACGCACACACGCGTACAGGCACACGCACGCGCATACACACGCACACACGCGCGTACAGATGCACGCACATACACGCACGCACACGTGCACACGCGCACACACTAAGGTGCATCCTGGACTTAGAGGCTCCTCTTACTCTCGGGGGCCATCACCACGTAAGAGGGTGCCGGGCACCCGCACTGCGGCACCACGACCGTCTGATGGTGGAGATGGCCACTCGGTGACTAACGGGTGGAGAGTGTGGGGGGCGCATCCAGCACAGAGGCACCGGGCAGAGGGGTGATTCACAGGGATGGTCAGTGCTCACAGCCGTGTCCAGGCCTGGCCACAGCCTGTGGGACTTCACTGGGCGGCCCCGGGACTCCAGCCGGGGAGACACCCGTTGCCTCTGGGTGATGGCTCCCCAAGCTGGCTGCTCCTCCCGGCCTCTGCAGTGGGGAGTGTGATCCTGGTGGGGGGGTGCTAGTGACGGGGTCCCGAGGCCCCACCTCCCGGAGCCATGAGCCGAGTTACCTTCTGTTCTCTCTTGACCTTGGCGTTGTAGAAGGAGATGGACTCCGGGCCCTCGGGCAGCACGTCCTGCTGCAACTGGCTGAACTTGTCCTGGTCGTCTTCTCCCTGGGGGCCCAACTCAAGGTCGTCCTCCAGCCTGGCATGGTCAGGACGCGCCCTGCCAGGGCCCGTGGTGGGCATGAGGGCAGCCCCTGGCTGGGCTGGCAAATCCCCCCCGCGGCAGCTCACACGCTCAGGCCCTGTCTGCCAGCATCATCACAGATGCCCTGTAACTGCCCCCTGGGCAGGAGGAGCCGCCCGAAAGGGTGGCCGCAGCAAGTGGTATCATCTGTGTGCCCACCCTCGGTCACTGGGTAGAGACCTGTGGCTTCCCACCTGCCTGGGCAGCCGTGGGAGCGGCTGGGAGCGGCCCACACATGCCACGTTTGTGGGGAGAAAAGGGCAAAGCACTGGAGGCACTGCCCACGGCCCACTCCCCTCGCCCACCCCCGACGGGGGCCACTCACCAGAGACACAATCCTGCCGACGGGCACCATGCCTGGCCGGATGCTGCTGCCCGGCTTCAGGGCCGCCTGCAAGTCCTCGGGGATGAAGAAGGACTCGTTGTACCAGATTTCAAATTCTGCGCGGAGGAGGGGCCAGCACTGAGGCTGCTGGCAAAGGCTGTGTGCTCATCAGAGGCTCACCCTGCCCCTTCCTGCTCCACGGTCTCCCCCGCCCGTCTGTCTCCTGCCCCCAAAGCCTCTAAACAAACATCTGAAGGCCCTGCCCTCCCCCCGCCTCTGCCAGAGAGAAGCTTCTTCTTTTCTAAGATCCATGGTTTGTTTTTATTTATTTTTAAATATATGTTATTGATTTCAGAGCGGAAAGGAGAGAGAGACATCAATGATGAGAGAGAATCATGGATCGGCTGCCTCCTGCACGCCCCCCACTGGGGATAGAGCCCGCAACCCAGGCATGCGCTCCGACTGGGAATCCAACTGTGACCTCCTAGTTCATGGGTCCCTGCTCAACCACTGAGTCACACCAGCTGGGCCAGAGAGAAGCTTAGAAGCTGCTTCTAGAACCCAGGTCTGTGGGTCCCGGAACTCCGACGGCCGCCACCCTTCCCAGACCGCACACCTGTGAGCAGGCGGTGGCGACACTGGTCCACCAGGTGCTGGCAGTACTGGATCTCAGCCCTCAGGTCACGCAGGTCCTGATACTCCGCACGGTACTGCTTCTTGAGGTCTTTGAGCTTCAGGATAAGCAGGAACTCCTCTTCATCGATGATAATCAGCCCCTTCTTCTCATACTCACCTGTAGAGGAGGGAGGAGGTCAGGGGTGAGGTGCCACCTGTGCTGAGTGAGGGAGGCAGGTGGTCCAGAGGGAGGGGAGAGCTGGCCAAGCACAAGACAGGAGACCAGGGAAGGCCGGGCACTGTGTGCGGCGGGCACGGCACTGGGAGGCCCGCAGCCGGGACACGTCCCACGGGGAGAGGGAGCTCAGAGCAGGCCCACTTGGCATTTCCAGGACAAACAGGAGGGTCGCAGGGAAACGGGTAGGAATGACCCATGTGCCACACATCGTGATCTTAAACCCCATCAATCAAAAGTACTCGGGCCCTGACCGGTTCGGCTCAGTGGATAGAGCGTCGGCCTGCGGACTGAAGGGTCTCAGGTTCGATTCTGGTCAAGGGCATGTACCTTGGTTGCGGGCACATCCCCAGTGGGGGGTGTGCAGGAGGCGGCTGGTCGATGTTTCTCTCTCATCGATGTTTCTAACTCTCTTATCTCTCTCCCTTCGCTAATGTCCCGTCGGCTCGCTACACTGCCTCCTGCGCTTGGCGGGCGGGTGGCGGCCGCAGGTGCTGGGCCTGCAACCACAGCCCGCGCCTCCACGCACGGCCCTCGGGGCGTGGGCGCCCACGTTCCGGACGGTCTCCTGGTGACTGGAGATTCATCAGCCACCTCTTTGTTAGAGACGATGGGATGTCTGCACCCTATCGAGTGGCTGTCAGAGGCTCGGGGGGAGGAGTCAGCTGTGCTCTTAGCATCTGCTCCCCGCAGCCTCCCTGGACGGACCTGAAGCTCCGTCAGCTCCTTGAGGATCGACGGGTTAAGGGAAAATAACATGTTTGTCAGCCGCTCACCTGGCTGTCCACTGCCCGCAGCACACGAGTGTGCGGCCGGGGGCGGGTGTGGGCAGTGTCTACTGTTGGGACCAGGGCGCCAGGTCAGGGTGCCCACGTGGGGGGCCCTGCTCTCTGAGCCTGATGGCCCCTCACTACCTGCCTTAGGAGACGGGTCCTTGCCAAGCCAGGACGGTGCGGGAGTTGCGTGAGGAATGTCTCCATGACAGTGAATCCTTGGCCCTCTGCTCGGCCCCTTCTCATTGCTCCTCGATTTCCTCTTAGCCAGCACCCCACCGCCATCAGACCCAGGGACCTGACGGGGCACCAGCCCCCCTCCGCCTGGGAAGCCGGCTCCCAAGGCTGTCCCGCTCGGAGCAGCGTGACTCCGACCCCACAGGCCCAGCCACCTTCCCGCCTCGTCACCTTGCTTCTCCCGCAGGGACCTCTGGGCACTGAGCCCCTCCTTGGCGACGTCCATCTCCCTCTTGATGACGTTGATGCGCTGCGTGGTCTCACTGGCCCTTTTCCTCCGCTCGTTCAAGATGGACTTGTTTTCTTTGAAGATGCGGTTGATCTCACTACCTCGCTCGTTCTTGAAGTCCTCAAAGGCCACAGGCTTGGAGGGTGGGGTGCTGGGCCTGAAGATGGGGGCGGACGGGCAGCTGTCTTGGGCCACCAGGTCCTTCACCTGCCTCCCCTGGGGCCTGGGCAGCAGGAAGGCCCGGCTTCCTGGGCACCGCCTCCCCCAGACGGAGCCAGACGCCGGGGAACCAATCCCTCCTCTGACCGCGGCGCAGCACGAGGGGCGCAAGGGGACGCGGAG